CGACGAAATCATTTACTTAAGTCGTACATTCGTATTTATCGTTGTTTGATAAGTTTATAAGTCTATAGAAGCACAGAAGAGATCGCATCATACAGTTGTTCGAGACTTTAAATATTAGAAAGAGTTTGTTTCGTGATCAGGTGATTAAAGGAGAATAGAGAGACGAAAATAATTTACGTGTTAGAACTATGAGGGAAAATTGTGCACTTGACAGATAAGAAGAAAAATGAAAAACGTAGAGGCTATGATCACACTTTAATAATATTCATAAAAAATTTCTAGAGGACAATGATAAATTATAACGGTTTTTAAAAAGTACAAAATGATAATAAAACCAATATCAAAACGTACTACAGAAGAGAATTAGGGCCAAGAGAGGATGAGAGGTTGAACGTTTTGATTTCACATGCAGAGTTTGAGCTTGAATTGATGGGTCTCAAACACCTGAACAGTTTACAGATTTTTTGTTTAACTTCCGTTTGATCCGATTCTTTTGGTTATATAGATTACTTTGAAGGATAATTTCTTTGAAGCAAAGTAGCCAGAGTAGATTATGTACTTCCGTATCGAACTGGTGATAGGTTTTTATTCCTCCTTTTAAAGCCACACCGTGTAATGTTCTGAGACGCGTTTGTTGGTGATCACTTTGTACAACCAATGTAGCCTCTCCCACAAAAGTAAGTTCATAGATGCACTTATTGCATGTAGTAAAATATTATACATTTCGGATTTTTCTTCGTTAGTTCAGTAATAATAATAATGCACACGTCAGAATAATTGAATATCTTGCATTAAAACAGTGAATTTTTATTTATAACATATGCGTACAAAATAATGTCTAATAGTCTTCACTGTTGTTATTTAACTATTCTTGGAAATATTTGATTGCAATCCAAAGTATTTTTAATAAATAATCACTTATTCCACAAAGTCTTATAATGGTCAGCATGTAGAATCAAATGGATTTTGAAAAGAATTCGTTGTCTACTAAAGACTGAATTAACGACAATAAAAATTCATGCGTTATAAATTTGTGTATTTATTATTATAAATGATACATATGCTAAAGGTTTTGTTGTTTATACTAACTCAAATCTTTCCATGACAGTAGTGATTTAGTCTATGACAATATAACACAATTTCAGATGGTTGTTTAATCATTTTGCTATCTTGTCAAATTTGTATTGAACTACATTACCCTAAAGTGAGTATGATATAAAAATGAGATGTGATTAGTATATCAATTATTTACCTACTTGAATGTAATGCTTGTAAATCAGTGCATAAATTATTTCAAGCATTAATCTGATAAAAACATATATAGTTAATGAATCATTAAATTTAATGAATTTTTTCAATATTACGCAGTGCTGAGGAGTCACACAATAGGACGAAACGGCCGTTAAGTGCTTCCAGGTTTCCGTCGTGGTCTAGCTTCAATTGAATCATGATCTCAACCACTGAAATTACTATAATATCCACAAAAACCTTGATTTTCAATATTGTCTCAAAGAATGAGGGTTTCATTCTTTTATAAGTGTGAAAAACGTCCCATTGCCCTTCTATCTATCTATTTATCTATCTATCAGTCCATCCGTTTATCTACAAATATATTTATCCGCAAATCTCTCTATCTACCTACGTTCAATCCCAAGAACATATAGCGAAAAAACCTCAGACCGATGAGATTAAAGGGTTCTAGTGTAGTGAACAGAACACGGGTTGGGACAGTCGAATGTACTTAACACACATTACAGGACTTGTTAATAAAATCTAACAATCATAAAGTAAATGCTTAATTTGCAAAATGTCCACCAATTGTCTCAAAATGACTCAGACTTCATTGTTCTTGCATTTTCATACAAATCGCATCCTGTTTCCATTCTTTACTGTTCGATCCTCTTGTCTCTCTGCTGCCAAACCTTCTGTTCACGACTAACATCATATACTACTTATGTCAATATAAATAAAGCAAGAACAAACATTGATGCAGAATAGTATGAATTCACATTATTTCGAGGTTTCTCGTCAGCTGCTTACAAACCAAAATTGTGATAGAATTTTTACATGGAGATAGTGTGAAAACAATTGATATAAATGAGTGTAAATAACTTGATTACAATAATAACTATATATATGCTAGAAACAGGTCAGAGGTCCAAAGAGGGGGGGGTTAATCCACGGTGGGTGGTGTAATAACTTAGTGAAGTTCATAAATTGTGTGATAATTGTAGAGATTAATGAAATTAAATAATGATAAGGTAGATTACGTAATAATAATAACAATAATTTAATTCCATTAATCTCTACAATTATCACACAATTTATGAACTTCACTAAATTATTACACCACCCACCGTGGACTAACCCCCCCTCTTTGGACCTCTGACCTGTTTCTAGCATATATATATATAGTTATTATTGTAATCACGTTATTTACACTCATTTATATCAATTGTTTTCACACTATCTCCATGTAAAAATTCTATCACAATTTTGGTTTGTAAGCAGCTGACGAGAAACCTCGAAATAATGTGAATTCATACTATTCTGCATCAATGTTTGTTCTTGCTCTATTTAAATTCATAAAGGGAACCAATTGTATGTCAATATAAGTAGCACACACCACACTAGCAGTGCTATTGCAACACATTTTTTTGAAACAGAGCATTGAGTTGATAGACTGAAATCTATCAGCATCATCAATCAGCAGTCAAATTTTATTCTTCTCAAATTCACTGAATGCATAGACACCAAATACTTCAAGCATGATTTATGTATCCATAAGTAAACAGTTGTAAACCATTTCTTGCTTTGATGGCTTATCGTCAGTTTATTATATCATTTTTGCAATGTTTTCTCTCTTGTTTCAATTACATCACTTATCTCAAATCCACAGTTTTACTTTAGACTGTTTTACTTAAATGCTATTAATTTATGTTTAGCTCCTTCATTACATAATCAATTAATTATTTCAGCCGTATGATATCTTGTTGCCATGTCTTGTGATCCAGAAGTTTCTCTCGGACATTATATTTATTTACAACACTATATGTTGCCAATCTCACTACATTTATTCAAACCGCTGCTCTACCATGATGATACGTATTCAATTTTACTGTCATAAATATTTAAATTTTACGGTAATTTTGAATTTAAAATTTAATTTGTAAGCACCTGGTGGGAACCTAAGAAAAAAGGATTCATGCTATTCTTCTCAATTCTTTGTTCTTGCTCTATTCAAGTTAATAAAGAAAACTTATTATATGAAGTTACTCTTAAAGTACTGAACCTGTGATTGATGCATATGAAAACATATGCTATTGTCGTCTAATTATTTGCCAAACCCTACATTTTGACTTTGAATAAGCCTCATGTTCATTTCTAATTTCAGATGGGTTTTGTGGATATTATAGCAATTTTAATAGTTAAGATCATGAGTCAATTGAAGCTAGATCACCATGGAAAACCTGGAAGCACTGGATGACTGTTTCGTCTTATTGTGGGACTCCTCAGCAATGCACATCCACGACCTCACCCCCTGTGAGATTCGAACCCAGGACCTACTGGTTTCGCGCGCAAGCACTTAATTGATAAATAACCACCAACTTATTAACTATTAATCGTAACAATCAAATTTAACAGGATACCTTAATAATCAATAACTTTAATGATGGAGTTATTTTTCTCATCCTAACAAAAAATAATGGTAGTAAAATACACTTATTGATGCGCTAATTGTTATTATTGTTTTATTAATATCGATGAATGATGCATTCACTATAATATGATTCAACAAACACTATTAGTGACTTCAGACTATTTTGCGAAACGTTCAGTAGTTTTTGTAAGTCTTTTAAACCGATGCAAACTGGATTAATGGACAACTGTTTTAGCTTAAGATAATCAAACAATATACGCTCATAAATTCACATTTACCCAAACGAAATAACTCCCAGTAAAGTGCTCCTTGATTTACGGAACTTTCCATATTTATAGTATTTAATCATCAATTGTGAAATTATCAAATATTCCGGAGTACTGAATAACTTAGACAATGGTTTAAACATCATTCATGTTATCACCCTATCTTGTGTTAAACATGAAACTTTAGATTGCAAACATTAAGTTGCATTAAAATTTTTAATTTTATACTCAGTGGTATACATGAAATTTTACTAGCGAATGTATTTTCACTGAAATGAAGCGGCTTTTTAGAACTATCCGATTTCTGTTCGCTGTCTTTCTAACACGAAGCCATGATGTAAGCATTGTCATCCGAGTTTTTCATGTTAGGTTCTTTATATTGTATAACAAATATTACGTTATATCAAGCGTTTTTTTTTGTAGTTTAAAAGTAAGAATCCATGAGCACATCATGCATGCATCATTACCTCTGTTGGACACATTTTTAGAATAAAGAATTTCAATTCTAGACTAAATCACTTACCTTTTCGTTGTATCAGCCGAATTCGTTACGTTGTCAACTGAGCGTCTCATAATCAGTAGTAAAAAATGTGTAAATAATCGACAATTTTAACACGTTTTACTTTTTTTAAAAAAACGTTTATTTCTATTTAATCGATAAGAAATACTGATTACGTAAAAACTTGACAAATATAGGCGGCACAAATTAAAAAGTTTATGATAACACTACAAATCATCTAATTAAACATTTGTATCATATTAATAACAATGAAATTCATTTGTCTTCTAAAAATAAAAATAATATGACCAATTTTAGGATACCTATATATTCATATCCTTCCTTCACTTACGAATAAGTTTCAAGAAAAATCAAAATTAGTGAGACAGTATTTAGACAAATTAAGAAATGTCGGATAAAGTGAAATAAAATTTACAATAAACCAGAGAGTTAATTTATAGAACTATGCAAGAAAAATAAATAAACAAACAGGTTATCTGAATAAACAAGCAAATATATAAATTTATTGTATGAATGGATATAATCATTTGTTTTATTTAAATAAGGTTGTATTGTTTTATGTAAGTAAACCATGGAGACTGTTAACAATACTTGCAATCTAATAATCATCAACCAATAAGAATATTATTGCGATGAGAATACAAATAAACGTTACCCACATAGCTGATAATAACCATGCTTGCCAATTAATCTGTTGACCATAAATAGCCAAAGCGACTATGAAACATATCACTATAATTAATTTAGACAAATTAATAGAAAAAGGACTAAAAAGATAGTTTAATGTAGATACAGTAATTTTCAAGTGATTTAACTCGATAAGTTAATTTAGTGTAAAATAGACCTAGATATATGCAGAAGAATTTGTTAACCTGACATATAATAACGAACTTATTTTGTGAAGATTGAACGAAGAAAAATCGAGTGAACATCTGTTTTACCTTTGTTTAAAACTTTTCAACTGTGTACATTAGTAATCCTGCCAGAATTTGAATCTAGAATTTTCAGGTTTCATGATTAATATGATACACTTAGACCATTTAGCTGACATTTAACTGTCTTCATAGCTAACTCCAATTAATTCATGGATTAAGACAATCGTCATTTATTATCATTTCCTAAAAGCTTGTCTCATCCTCGACATATTTGTGTTCCGTTTGTATTAGTTATTTAATGCAAAGAAGGAATATTACTTCAAATAAATATAATATATAAACAGTCAATATAACTTTTATCAACAATGTTTGATATATTGAGCTGGAAGAAAAACCAGACTATTTTTATTGAAGTCTATGGACACTTTCGTGAAAACATTACAGTTAAAATTCTTCTGAGAGATAGTTTACTCAACCGACTGACTGATTGGTTTCAGCTGAACAACTAACAAAAATCAAGATTCAATGAATACGCGTTTTATTCTATTACTTAAACTCTTCATTAATGCATTTTAAAGCAGCTTTCTCTAGTGATTCATCATTATACTCTTATAAATAATTATTTTAGTACAATTCAAATGGAATAAAAAATATCACTGAATATTTGGATTGTTCAAACGCTTGAAAATGAAGGTTTTTTATAGTAGAAAGGATCACCTAGAAAATTTGTTTCATTCAAATATATTCGATACTTTTATTAACTCATTATCCTGACAAACCTCTAACCCTTTGTAATGCTAATCATTCTGAGCTGGTAATCAGGCTTTTGTGACTTTTTTAAAACAATAATAAGTAAAAACTCTAAAATTTTAGACAATCAATTGGTCGTTCTACATTTATGATAACACTATCTTAATGTTCTACTGCTAAATTGTGATATATATATATATATATATATATATATATATATATATATATATATATATATATATATATATATATATATATATATATATATATATATATATATACTTTTAATATCACAATTAAGTACGTTTTTGTAATAACTTCAAATGAAAATTTTATAAACTTACAGGCTATAATTAGTAAAACAAGTATTGCGATCACTATTCTTCTGGAATAATCTCTGCAAATCAAAACAATTGCAAGGATAGCTGCTATTACTAACAAAACCAGTCCGGCTATACTAAGTCCTCCATTTGCTCTCAACGAGGAATTATTTGTATTATCTATGTAAAAAACATCAGAAAAAAAAACAGTCACAACGAAGTTTACATTTTCTAAGTAAATGAATTGAAGTAGACAAATACGATGTTTTTTGCAGATTAGACCCTTTCTGTTTCAGGATAGGGTCGTAGGGAATGTTGAATTTCACTTAAATCACGAACCTAACTTAGGCAATCATTGAAAACCTGAAATAATAGACAACCGTTTCATCCTCTTTCATTTGTTAGGATTTAAATCTGCCAGTTGTTCATGTTAAGGGCTGACATTTAAACAGTCTCTTCTGGCATGTATAGAGATCCTGAAAAGAATGCCTCAATATTTCCATTAAAGCAGAAGCATTTAATCATCTTTTAGATAAACATATAATCTTAGTATAAAAAATGAATGATGATCACTGGATAAAAGTTGAAAGTATTAAATTAAAGTTAACTGTGCCTAATGCTATGAAAAATGTTATCGCTGAAATAATGATTGTATGATGCCGAGTTATATAACTATTTGTCGGATTAATTTCAGCAAATTATCGGCATTTCATGGAAATAAAATTCTTTCCGTTTAAAGTCATTGATAAAATGAACAAAATAAACTTACAGAAAATGAAGAATTGTTTAAGAACTTACCATTCCATGTTGGATTAGTGGCAATCGATACAATAATACATGCGATTGCAGTAAGTATAGAAATGAAATAGATAATCTTAGAAACAGAAGCCATTTTATATTTTGTGTGACGATTCGTTCGATGATATTACTGGCTTGAATATTGTTTACTTCTGTAATTAGTTTACTTTTAATTCACCAAGATATTTGCTTTCTCTGCTGTCGTTGTTGCAAAATAAACCTTTAATTCTGTCGAACACCGTAAAATAGTAGAATATTTTTAAAGTTAACAACAAATCACAAATATGACATATTATAATTACTAATATCTGTTTCTATTTTTATACTAATTTAGTATGATGAGTGTTCAGTGTGTCATTATTTTGAAATAATCCAATAAGTGAGGTGATTTCGACTGGTTTAAATAAGATGTGAATTAAAAATTTAATATGTCATAATTTTAATATTTGATCACATGAATATGACAGTTCAATGTAAATATAACTTTTTACTCATAATAAGACATTAATCTGTGAGGAATTTCGTTATTCATCATGATAATTCTATAGTAATAGTAAAGTTCAGAATAAGATTATTAAATAATTTCACATGGACTTGTACCAATTATCAATAAGTAGGAGAGATGGATTGTGACTTGCAAAGGAATGCAGGATGTGCATTCCGTCCTACTTAGAATTCTCTAGATGAATATATATATATAATTTATAATTTATAAGACGCAGTAAGCTAACTGATCCTTCTTACAGAGATATAAAACCTTTAAAGAATGTCACAATTAATACGCTTTCATGAAACTCTGTTGTGAAATTTAACGACAGCGCTAAACACTATGAATATCTCAATTATAAGTTATGATTTGTATAACATAGTGTCACTGTCTCTAACAGTTGGTAGCTGATATTTTATTTGTACAGCTTTAAAAACATATAACTATTCTGCATTAAATAGCTTGATAAGTGCTTAATTATGTCTTTACGCATTGTCTTTGAAATATTTATTATTAATTTTAAAACAAACAATCCTAACTTCCATTAGTAGACTGCCTTCATATAACTATTTCTTGATAATGAAATGTCTTACAATTACAGTGGTTAGATCAATGACGGTGTTGTGTGCCTGCAGACGTTATTGTTTTTCTTTGTTTACTTATTAAGAATTAACTGAATGACTTTACTGAGTTTAGATAATTTTTTCCTGGTTAGCGCTTTCTTAGCAAAGTTGTTTCCTATGGGTTGAGGTTACTAAACCCGTGCCCAGCCTTCCTCCTTTATTCGGGCTTGTGGACGGCAGTAACCCTAGAAGGGATGTAGACAGAACAACAGGTGCAACAACCAACTATAGTGGAAAACAAGCGAACGTCTGGCTGCTAAGGAAATTAGGATAAGACGCTGGAAGTGGATAGAACATACATTGAGGAAATAATCAAACGGCATCTTAATGCAAGCTCTATATTTGAGTCCTGAAGGCAAATAGGAAAGAGTAAGATCAGAGAAAAGGTTGCACTTTGGACCGAAGTAAGGCATCAAAAGAATGAATGGCAATTAGGAACAACCGGGAAGGAGAGCCCGTGGCAGAGTTGATTGAAGAATCCTAGTGGACGCCCTATCCTCTACAAGGAGTAACAGCCGAAATTAAGCAAGTAAGTGTGTTTAATTGAGTGAGTGACAAGCTCACTTCGTGATTGTTTTTTAAATATTATAAAATATAGATAGTTTATCAAATGTTAGATAAGTTTCTTTGATTCTACATTACCGGTTTTTATGGTTATTTTTAAGTAGATTTAAAGTAATACGTGCACAAAATAGCTTTCTTTAAATTGTTTTAATCATGCTCAAAGAGAATGCTTTGAAAGAGTATTTAAAAAAGACTAAAACAATCACATGATTTGATAATTTTTCAGATTTCTCCGACATATAATGAATATAGTCTGCTATAACTAGACATATAATCTTAAAATAAATGATATGAATTATAACATTAAAACATAAATTGCAGATGTGAACATTTCATGTTATAAAAAGCTCAGATTGAGGGCTTTTTACAATCTTTTTACTGTAGTTTCAGAAGCCATGTCGGATGTGAGGCAATTACTCATTGAAGACAATGGAGGGCAGTCATGCAATATCGTGAATTGGTTGAAGTTAGACATTAGCTCAGTTGGATGCCCAATGGTCAATGGCTCAATGGTCTAGGGGTTAAGCGTCTGCGCACAAGACCTAAGGCGCTGGGTTCGAATCCCACATGCGGGAGTGTGGGTGCGCAGCAGTAAGGGGTCTCATACTAGGTCGTCCAGTGCTTCCAGGTTTTCAATGGTGATCTATCATTTATCCACTTATGATCTCAATCGAAACCATACCAGTCTTAAAAAAAATTAGTTGCCATTTTGTGTTTAATCTTAGAAATCAAGTTTATCAAGCACATTTTATTAGCTTTCTTATTCTGTACTATCACACAAGCAGTAAGTTCTGTTCTCAACAGGCGTGATTACATAATTCCTTTTCATTTCCTACAGCTATTAAACAAATGCATTACCTTACTAAGTTATTTTTCAAATTTGTTGAATGTTGTCTGTTAACAAAATAAAATATGGTGATGCAACAGTCTCAGTATAGAAAAAGTCTAGAAATAACTAATGATGAAGACTGGTATCAATATTAATAAATCAAAAACGTTATCTGATCCTTTAACAAAATTGATTAGAAGGTCGAATGAAATAGGGATGATAAAATTGAATAATATTGAAGCAGGTTGACATGGATTTAAATCTCACTGAGTGTATTAGTTTTCTAAAAACTGTAAGTAAGGCTTGCTAACTATTCCCAATCATCTCGAAACTCAAGTCTAGCGTTTTGTTCGGATTATCTCCAACAATCTAACATTTAAACATACTAATTAGGTTAATAGAAAGCAACTATATGCTGTTTTAAGCTTAATGGAAAACTTATCTCCTAACTCGTAGTTAGTGTGAGTGAAGTTCTCTGAAAATGATATTCGTGAGAAAACGTTGTTTAGTTATATCGACAGCTAAAAACCCAGACAAACTCAACTGACTAACATTAACATTGATGTAAATTTCTTAATCATGAACCAGCTTCAGTGATGACAGTTGAGGCTAAACCAACACATATGTCGTGGTTAATTTAATTATCATTACTGAAAACATATTTTGTAATGTAACCCGAAAATATACTTCGAATATAAACCAAAATATTTCGAAACTCTTGTTTTTTTTTAAAATGAACCAAACATCATATACTATCCTTGATGGAAGTATGTTCTATATTATTGACTATAAGTCATCTGAGTAATATATTATTTAAAGACTGGCTACAATTATTTAAATTTTAAAAAATTATGGTATTGCAGAAGAACCTTATTCTGGTTGATTGTGTAAATCATGAATTATTTGAGACAATGTGAAATTTATTAGTTATAAATATGTGTCACAAGTTGGAACAACTTTTGCCATCTACATTGAGACTATCAGCAATGATTTATTTTAAGGTCTTTCAATCATAAAGTCACTTGAAATCAACTAACAACAGTTAAGATATTAGACTAGTCAAAAAAGTTCAGTCAAACAACTTAGTTATGCTTATGTCCTCCGTTTTCTATCTGAAACATGAGGAAAGTATAAATAGCCGTAGTATAACCTAGAAAAAATATCCTTAAGATCTAACTGTTCTTAATAATCAACAATTAATAAAATTGCTAGTCGTTCTTAAACCTTCATTCATCACTATTCATTATAAATAAGGTTCTGTGCTTTACATTTTCAGATACTGCTTCAATTCGTACCAGATCAAGGAATTTAACGTTAGTTTATTATGTTAATTCTTGCCAACGCTTGCGCTTGAAGCTATTCTAGTGACTACTTGCAAGTAGTCGAAAATATGTGCATACATTTTTCAATCTTAAAAGTCCTGGTCAATTAACTTTGATTGACTCAATTTATGGTGGTCAACAATAGAAATTCCATACCGATAGACAGTTTACATGAATGTTATAAAAACTGAATAATTGCTAAAATAGTTATCAAGAGAGATGAAAAAACTAGTTGTTGATAAAAAAGATATGTATACATATTTCGGCGTCTAGTTTTGTATTTCTAGTGGTTTACTTCTAAACCGACTTTAATTTGGCAAAAATTTGTTGACCATCCAAAGCTTATAAATCTTATCATTATAAGTATGAAAATGGTTTGATTGGTGCGATTTCTTCCTAGAGCTTTCGTATTATTACGTTTCGCTTTCACAGTGACAATTATGTTTCTATATTTCCAGAAGACCAATCCTATTATTATTTTAATAGTTTCTAAATCACGAAATGCTCTTAGTTAATACACCAATGAAAACCTGGAAGCATTAATCAGTCCCTTTTCTCTGGGACGGGGCTCTTCAGTAGTGAACATCCACGGCCTAGACACCAGTTATCGAACCGATGACATTCGGTCCTTCGTATGAATGCTTAACTTCTTGACCACTAGTCGGGTATCCAATTGCATAAATGTCTAACTTCAAATAATTCATAATATTGAGCAACCTTCATTCATTGCCTGTGGTAGATAACTGTCTCATAACTGACATGGTGGAACTCCACTAGTCACTCCTCTTCACTAAAACTCCAGTAACTGCATTTTGAATGAAGTCACTAGTAAGCACATGATTATTATCGGTATTTATGGTGACCAAAGAATTCTCAGTTTTTGAATCGCGGACTGCTCCTTATTAGCTTACTTAGTTACTACCGATGTAATTAATAACTACCAGTTTTTAAAATTTCTGGTTATCAAGCATGTTGAATGACTAATCCAATTTGCTCTGTTGACTCCAATGATTGAATATTGCCGGTGTTTAACAAATCCTGTCTTTAACAGTCATTTATTTAAATTAATTTGGTCATAGCTCAATAAATAGAGATGCTGGCAAATGTGTAAATACTTTACAGTATTCTTATATATATGCCTATATAGCTTTGAATTGTAAACTCAGTCAACAAGATTTCTAAGTGGTTTGGTGGAAGAGTTGATGCAGTGCAGGGCTTTCGATTACTCTAAAGAACAATACAGTGTTTGAAATACGTTTCTTGTCCTGTAAATGCAAAATACTTCATCAAGAATGCATTTTGTTAATGTTTAAATTAATGATTGTGAGCGGTACATGTAAACTCAAAAATAACTTCGCTAATCAGGGAAATTTTATCAACCCTAG